ATGTCTAGGAGACTAGTTGTTTGCTCTCCTGACATAATGATATCTGTCCTCAGTGCACGCATGTTGCATATAACGCTCCTGAAAGAACATCTTTAAGTTTTAAATTTGTGGTAAACTGCAAGAAGGCAATCCTCAATATGTTATATATAGTGCTTTTTCAAAATGTTATATGGCATCAATCATATCAATTAAACACAGGAAATAAAACAAAAATTAAAAAAAAAAACATTCTTAGATCAGGGAGAAAAAGGATAGCCTGTACATTCTAACATTTTATGCGTATAATTTTCAAACTCTGTCATTAATATTTAGCTACTTTTCAAGATAGGCTATCCTGTGTGTATAAAGTCAATTACTCCATCGGATTATTAGACAAATTTCATTGTTTGAATGAATACATATTTTAAAAATCTCAGACTTTTCAGTGTAAAAGTGGAATAGGATCCATACAGATTCATTCATGTTCGGGTTCGTTAATGTAAATTTTGCAGTTGTACGAGTTACACGACGCTTTGACTCACATGTAAGATCATAATCAGAAAAGGGTTTTCTGACCAAACATAAAACGCATCAATGTCTGAACGACATGTAGGTGGACATGGTTTTATCGTGTCAGACGATTAAGCTGTTTTGTTAGAAATGGTCTCTGTCATCCTATTATATATAAACGAAAATCTGTCATAGGAGAAATTTGGTATTTTATTTAAAGATGATACGTGCCATGAAGACTTTCAAAACTGGCTCTTTGCCAGCCATTTTAGATCTTAGATCAGCATCATTTTTGTTAAGGAGTAACCTAGACAGCAAACGAAGCCTTTTGGTGAATTTCCCCATGTAATTATGACAGCATCATTCCAATGTCGCTAACTTGTATCCTCCGTAGACTCTAACATATACAATTTTCAAGTCATTTTTAAGCTAGAAAATGATTTACTTTTACCCTTGCCAAGTCTTGAACCAGAGACCTAACAAGATGAATCAAGGTTCAGATTGGATTTTTGCGAAGACACTGAAAGAAGTTTCCAGAATTAAATATTTATGTATATTGTAAATGAACAATGAATTAATCTTATACCAGACTCATGCGTATATAGTCAAAACTGGATTTTTGAATCTAACACTGATTGATCAGCAAGACTAAACAGTAACTGATATAATGAAATGATATCGTTCCTAACTGTAACTAACAAAAACATGAAACTTCAATGAATAATTAATCAAGATTCAACGTATGAAACTTATTAAAAAATATGACATATATGGATTATCATCTTGGATGATCAATCTTTACAAGTTAAACATAAATATAAACAATGTTTGCTGAATCACCAAGCATATAAAATTATACTATTTATAAACGACAATGAACAAGGTATGTATGTTTCTGTCACCAATGGTGATCAGAGTAGAGAATTTGCACAACAAAAAAACATGACAAATGTTTCATTAACAAGTAGGCTGTACCCATTATTATATTTCGCCCATGCAAATCCTTGGTTTTGTTTATATAGTGATATTGAATATTGATTTTAAAAATGGAACAAAGTATTTTGTGGCGCCAGTTTGTATTCTGTGTCCACAGCTCTCGTCAAATGGTCAAGAAGCCACCATATATGTCCCGTCCATCTGTTTGCCAAGGAAAACGTCCATAACACCAATATTCCCTGTAGACCGGATTTTCCAGAAGCTTTCGTCCTTCAATGCATGTAAACCAGAACTGTAACCCACTGGATACGTCATCATCGACTGCATCATTCGGATTACACCAAATTTCTCCAAGGTATACAGCTCCCCATCCAAAATATTGCAGCTAAAAGTATAATGACTAATCCGTTAAGTATAAATTTAAGGATTCACATCATTCATACGCGCAAACGAATTGACTTCGTTGTACATTAAATGATTTCATCACAACTACTGTACAGAGATTATTTTTATTGCAATTAACACGTTCGTATATAAATGTGTGTCTGATAAGAATAACCTCACTGAATTACAAGAATAAGAATTCGAACATTACAAAACATTCGATATATGCTACGCTTAAATGAATAAGATTTGTCTGTCCAGTTATACAAATGGCTAACTTTAAACAAACTGTAGTTTACCGATATCTTTGGTTTAGATGAAATATGTCTCTCTGCCAGAACACATTCTGTATAGGTTATTGGTGTATGTATATTTAAATAAACGATCAATTTCTTGTTTAGTTGGGCACTGCCCGCTGTAAGGCATTGTGTCTTACAGGCTTTTTCAATTGTTTAGGATGCCATCCTCATTCTTGATAGCTGCTTGACACAGCTCGTTGTTTTGTGATGTAACAGATTAAATTCATCTTATATCCTAGTTGTGGTTGAAATTCTAGTAGGATAACTTGAAATAATTGGGGTCTCACTGGAAACACTCTGCTTTGGCATCATTCGGTGTACTGATGGCAGTATTATGATATCTCTAAATACGAACATACCATCTTCTGGTAATGATGTAGGCGGTAAAGAAAACCTAGTTCATGATGTAATTCTTTGACATTAAGAACATACAATTCCTTAAAAGTATTCATATACTTTGCGCCTAAACTACGCTGCCTCGTTCGCCATGCGGCATATTAATCTGTAAGTTTTCTCTTGTCCTGCTGTGCTATTAATTTTTTAAAGGTTACGCTTCTCTTCGATATCCATGAGTGACTTAGAGTAAAAATATCATGCTGAAGCAGCTGTATCAATAACTACACAAACAATTTAAAGATTTTTCTGCTCTAACGCATGTCCTTAGGAAACTAGCAAAACAAATTTGATATTATAAAGACCTTTTTATATTCCTTTGACCTTGTACCTTGATACATGGACATAAGGTTAATAAGACGCAAATGAAATGATATCAAACACACTTTTGCGGCAAAATCAGTAGTAGTAAAGACTGGGCATCACTAAGAAGAGAGACAGCGAAGGAAACTTTGCTGGCGCATCAGAAGCATCGACATTCGAAAAGAAAAGAAATTATTTCGATCAAATAAGTCTCAGAAGACGCCGGTGTAATACAATATGTGAAAAGACTAAATATCAGATCTTTTCTACAAATATCATTAGCAAATTAAATCTACAATACAAACCACAACCAGAATCTAAAGCAGAACAAGTACACTATATTATGCTAGAGCTCTGATATTGAAAAACATCCAATTGCATCCAGTCGCAAGAGCCATATCCGTATAACATACCTTTGATGGAGTAAACATACCTGAAAGAAAGTTTCCTTAGCACAGTAGAAGCTAGAGAACAAAGAAAAAGTGAATTCGAATAGCAAATTATATCACCATTCTACACGTCCGGTGATATCGTTATTATTATTATTATTATTATTATTATTATTATTATTATTATTATTATTATTATTATTATTATTATTATTATTATTAACGAAATAAATAAAAAGTGAAAACTACGAGCAATATTTTATGAATAATGTTAATAAATACTTGCTCTGCTGAGACTAAAAAGAGGATATTCCTATTGGATGAATGTATCACGAAGAACGGAGACTATATAGTTTATTGGGTAGTTACAACATTAGATGAGCAATGCTTATTCAGCTTGGTTTGTAACTCGGTTTTATGGTGACATTTTCCGCTTGGATTGTAGGAAACATGCAACATATCCGACTACAAACATTAATTGATAACAATGTATGCAAAATCAATCGGGCATGTAAATATGGTTTTCGATTAGCCACCATTAGCCATTTTAAGGGGAGGGTGGACTGTGTTCATTTAGGCGATCAACCGTTCCGTTCAATGTATAGTACCTTACAGCATAGGAATGCTCTGTGTATATTAATCGTTGTATAGGTTTTCATCTAACAGCAGCGACTTGAATGTGATGAGTACGGTACGGCTGACACCTTGTAAAACACAGTGCTGATCTGAGCTTTTATTATCAAACTGAACTTTTCGTTTAGCATCTTAAACTATTGATATAATAAGTAGGGAAGGTTTAAGTGGGTTGTCAACACCCGGGCAAGATATTTGTCATAGACGGATACTAAATAAAAAAAATAAAAGGACTCAAATAACGAGAAAATGTTTTGTGAAATACGTAAAGTTGTAATAGTAGACAACTATTTCCCTCAAAATTTTAGGATGATTGTCAGTCTAACAAATGAATACATGTACTTAGCACATTAACATCCACTTTTAAAAAATTTTTAAAAAATTCTTTATTCTTTTCTTACACCGAAATTTTTTCAATTCGTGAAATATTTCCACTTATCTTCTCAAAATCTGTCCATACCCTCCATTTATTTTAGACGTTAAGATTTTGTAATAATTCTATTCACGGTTAACAATGCATTTTTTTTTCTTGTCAAGGATTGCGAAAAAAATGCTATGGATGCCATTCAAGGCTTTTGTTATTTAGGTATCTGTTTTGGTATTGGGAATGTCAATTCTCATGAAAATTCAAACTTTTTCTCTCGAATGCTAATAATACTGCATTTGAAGAATTCATCTTACCATTTGATTCAAAGGAAATGAAACCTTAGCTAGAAAATAATGTACATGCTGTTCTTCCATAGATGCGAAAGTGTTCATAATAAATACAAGTGTACATTGTATTATTAGGTGTGGGTGTGCTTTCCCCCAAAAAAGTGGTTTTACTTACTACTTCTTATCATCCTTCAGGTCCCAGCTTGTGTTTTTTGAGCTACTTAAACACCAAATTCATTTTCTAATATTACTATTTTTAAATCGTCAGATTGTTTCATTGCGCGCGTGTGTGTTTTGGGAATTTTAATTTAGTTTTAACAATTTTTCATTCATATCTCTCAGATGTCTGCAGTGTGGCAGTTTATAGTGATGTATAGCACTGGGACATCATGCAGTAGACATGTCCCACCCAGTCACATTATCCTGACACCAGGCCTACCAGTCCTAAAACTGACCTTTTAATGCTGAGAGTCAAACTAATCAGCCGTTAGTACCATCTTTTTTTTAAAAGTCTTTGGTATGATTCGGCCGGTGTTCGAACCCGCGATGTCCCGCATCCGAGGCGGACACTCTGACCACTAGACCACCAAAGCGATCGTTCTTTGATTGCTTTTATCTTATCTGATGGGTTATGTGCTTTCCATTTCTGAATTCAACTATTGTACTATGTTTGTTTGTCTAGTAATTCGTATTTTTCTAATGTCGCTTTTTTTACGTATTGTTGCTAATGAAAATGGTCACGTGTTTATATGTTGCTTTAATGATGCTGACAATGCATAAATCTTATATTAAATGGACGAAAAATTTGTTCCCAATCATCGATTTCTAAATAGCTACTCGTCCACCAAAGATGGTATATTTACTCTGAAATGGTTAAAAACGGAGTTATAATATTCGTTCTTCTAGTTCCACTGAAAATAAACAATAGGACTTCAAAAAGTAATTTGTATAGGACCGAGGTATTGTTGATATACCGATTTAGATCGGTATTGTGTGCTATGTTCTGTAACCGCGTACCTTTTTCGCTCTACCAGTACTTCGGTAGTTTCCGTCTGTAAGGATTATACGGAATTTAATAATCAAGCAATATTTTAATTTTTGTGATGAACACAATTTTCAAAATATAATAATACTTTTACAAAACAGTTGCATTTGTCATAAATTATTTTTCAATATAAAGTACATTACATTTATGCTTGCATTCAGCAACTTTAAGCCTGTGTATGCCATCATGGTGAGCGGATAGGACCAAATCCAAAGTGTAAGCAAAGCAGCAAACGTTCCTTTCCATAGTTACTTACTTGAGATGTTGTTGTTGTTGTTGTTGTTGTTGTTGTTGGGCATAACGACATTTTCAGCACACGATAGGCTATTCATGGCGGCCAGTATTAATGGTGGAGGAAGAAACAGGGAAATCACTGGAAAGAACCACTGACCCACGAGAAGCTACTGGCAAGCTTTCTCACATATCTACATTAGCCGAATCCTAGACTCGAACACACGCAGACAGAGGTGAGATGGCAGTGATCCGTAACGGACAAAGCTTTAGACCACTCGGCCACTCGAGATGTGTTAATATGTTAAGTACATGTACTAGAGCATGTTAATGTGTTAAGTGTATGTACTAGAGCATGTTAATGTGTTAAGTGTATGTACTAGAGCATGTTAATGTGTTAAGTGTATGTACTAGAGCATGTTAATGTGTTAAGTGTATGTACTAGAGCATGTTATTATGTTAAGTACATGTACTAGAGCATGTTAATGTGCTAAGTGTATGTACTAGAGCATGTTAGTGTCTTAAGTGCATGTACTAGAGCATGTTAATGTGTTAAGTGTATGTACTAGAGCATGTTAATGTGTTACGTGCATGTACTAGAGGATGTTAATGTGTTAAGTGTATGTACTAGAGTATGTATATGTGATAAGTGTATGTACTAGAGCATGTTAATGTGCAAAGAGTATGTACTAGAGCATGTTAATGTGTTACGTTCATGTACTAGAGCATGTTAATGTGTTAAGTGTATGTACTAGAGCATGATAATGTGATAAGTGTATGTACTAGAGCATATTAATCTGTTATGTGTATTTACTAGAGCATGTTAATGTGTGAAGTGCATGTAGTAGAGCATGTTAATGTGTTAAGTGTATGTACTAGAGCATGTTATTGTGTTAAGTGTATGTACTAGAGCATGTTAATGTGTTAAGTGCATGTACTAGAGGATGTTAATGTGTTAAGTGTAGTACTAGAGCATGTTAATGTGTTAAGTATTTCTACAAGAGCATGTTGATGTGTTATGTGTATGTAATAGAGCATCTTAATGTATTAAGTGTATGCCCTAGAGCATGTCAATGTGTTAAATGTATTTACTAGAGCATGTAAATGTGATAAGTGCATGTTCTAGAGCATATTAATGTGTTAAGTATATGTACTAAAGCATGTTAATGTGTTAAGTGTATGTACTAGAGCATGTTAATGTGTTATGTGTATGTAATAGAGCATGTTCAAGTACTAAATGTATGTAATAGAGCATACTAATGTGTTAGATGTATTTACTAGAGCATGTAAATGTGATAAGTGCATATATTAAAGCATATTAATGTGTTAAGTGTATGTACTAGAGCATGTCAATGTGTGAAGTGTATGTACTAGAGCATGTTAAAGTGTTACATGCATATACTAGAGTATGTTAATGTGTTAAATGTATGTACTAGAGCATGTTAAAGTGTTAAATGCATATACTAAAGCATGTAAATGTGATAAGTGTATGTATTAGAGCATACTAATGTGTTAAGTGTATGTAATAGAAGATGTTAAAGTGTTAAGTGTATGTATAAGAGCATGTAAATGTGTTAAGAGTATGTACTAGAGCATGACAATGTATTAAGTGCATGTACTAGAGCATGTTAATGTGTTAAATGCATGTATTTGAGCATGTTAATGTGTTAAGTGTATGCACTAGACCATGTTAATGTGTTAATTGTATGTAATAGAGCATATCAATGTGTTAAGAGTATGTACCAGAGTATGTTAATGTGTTAAGTGTATGTACTAGAGTAAGTTAATATGATAAGTACATGTACTAGAGCATGTTAATGTGTTAAGTGTATTTACTAGAGCATGTTAATGTGTTAAGTGCATGTACTAGAGCATGTTAATGTGTTAAGTGTATGTACTAGAGCATGTTATTGTGTTAAGTGTATGTACTAGAGCATTTTAATGTGTTAAGTGCATGTACTAGAGGATGTTAATGTGTTAAGTGTAGTACTAGAGCATGTTAATGTGTTAAGTATTTCTACAAGAAAATGTTGATGTGTTATGTGTATGTAATAGAGCATCTTAATGTATTAAGTGTATGCCCTAGAGCATGTCAATGTGTTAAATGTATTTACTAGAGCATGTAAATGTGATAAGTGCATGTTCTAGAGCATATTAATGTGTTAAGTATATGTACTAAAGCATGTTAATGTGTTAAGTGTATGTACTAGAGCATGTTAATGTGTTATGTGTATGTAATAGAGCATGTTTAAGTACTAAATGTATGTAATAGAGCATACTAATGTGTTAGATGTATTTACTAGAGCATGTAAATGTGATAAGTGCATATATTAAAGCATATTAATGTGTTAAGTGTATGTACTAGAGCATGTCAATGTGTGAAGTGTATGTACTAGAGCATGTTAAAGTGTTACATGCATATACTAGAGTATGTTAATGTGTTAAATGTATGTACTAGAGCATGTTAAAGTGTTAAATGCATATACTAAAGCATGTAAATGTGATAAGTGTATGTATTAGAGCATACTAATGTGTTAAGTATATGTAATAGAAGATGTTAAAGTGTTAAGTGTATGTATAAGAGCATGTAAATGTGTTAAGAGTATGTACTAGAGCATGACAATGTATTAAGTGCATGTACTAGAGCATGTTAATGTGTTAAATGCATGTATTTGAGCATGTTAATGTGTTAAGTGTATGTACTAGACCATGTTAATGTGTTAATTGTATGTAATAGAGCATATCAATGTGTTAAGAGTATGTACCAGAGTATGTTAATGTGTTAAGTGTATGTACTAGAGCAAGTTAATATGATAAGTACATGTACTAGAGCATGTTAATGTGTTAAGTGTATTTACTAGAGCATGTTAATGTGTTAAGTGCATGTACTAGAGCATGTTAATGTGTTAAGTGTATGTACTAGAGCATGTTATTTTGTTATGTGCATGTACTAGAGCATGTTAATGTGTTAAGTGCATTTATTAGAGCATGTTAATGTCTTAGGTGTATGTACTAGAGCCTGGTAATGAGGTAAGTGCATGTACTAGAGCATGTTAATGTGTTAAGTGTATGTACTAGAGCATGTTATTGTGTTATGTGTATGTGCTAGAGCATGTTAATGTGTTAAGTGTATGTACTAGAGCATGTTATTGTGGTAAGTGTATGTACCAGAGCATGTCAATGTCTTAAGAGTATGTACTAGAGTATGTTAATGTGTTAAGAATAAGTACTATAGCATGTTAATGTGTTAAGTGTATGTACTAGAGCATGTTATTGTGTTAAGGGTATGTACTATAGCATGTTAATGTGTTAAGTGTATTTACTAGAGCATGTTATTGTGTTAAGCGTATGTACAATAGCATGTTAATGTGTTAAGTGTATTACTGGAGCATGTTAATGTGTTAAATGTATGTACTGGAGCATGTTAAAGTGTTAAGCGCATCTACTAGAGCATGTTAATGTGTATAAGTGTATGTGCTAGAGCATGTTAATGTGTCATGTGTATGTAATAGAGCAAGTTAAAGTATCAAATGTATGTCCTAGAGCATACTAATGTGTTAAATGTATTTACTAGATCATGTAAATGTGATAAGTGCATATATTAGAGCATATATATGTGTTAAGTGTATGTACTATAGCATGTCAATGTGTGAAGTGTATGTAGTAGAGCATGTTAAAATGTTAAATGCATATACTAGAGTATGTTAATGTGTTAAGTGTATGTACTAGAGCATGTCAATGTGTGAAATGTATGTACTAGAGCATGTTAAAGTGTTAAATGCATATAATAGAGCATGTAAATGTGATAAGTGTATGTATTAGAGCATGTTAATGTCTTAAGTATATGTAATAGAGGATGTTAAAGTGTTAAGTGTATGTATAAGAGCATGTCAATGTGTTAAGAGTATGTACTAGAGCATGTCAATGTATTAAGTGCATGTACTAGAGCATGTTAATGTGTTAAATGCATGTACTAGAGCATGTTAATGTGTTACGTGTGTGTACTAGAGCATGTTAATATGTTAATTGTATGTAATAGAGCATATCAATGTGTTAAGAGTATGCACCAGAGTCTGTTAATGTGTTAAGTGTATGTACTAGAGCAAGTTAATATGTTAAGTACATGTACTAGAGCATGTTAATGTGTTAAGTGTATTTACTAGAGCATGTTAATGTGTTAAGTGTATGTACTAGAGCATGTTAATGTGTTAAGTGTATGTACTAGAGCATGTTAATGTGTTAAGTGCATGTACTAGAGCATGTTAATATGTTAAGTGTATGTACTAGAGCATGTTAATGTGTTAAGTGTATGTACTA